CATTGTAGCAGGGGAGGTGGGAAAACACATACTGCAGTTCCTACAACTGTTTTGAGGCCCATCTCCATGGTACATATAAGCTCCATCTAGGCTGTGAACTACCATATTTACTCGATTCTAATGCTCACATTTTTTTACTACATTATAAGGCTGTGCACAGATCAGTTTTTCAAAACCAGCTCTGGCTGTTTCGGTTCTTTCAGCCAGCCGTAACGTCATGGGTCCTGCCACCATATTTTTTTCCAGCCGCAACAGACCATGGGGCTGCTAACCATGGCTACTTTTGGTTTCATACACATGGAGCGCGGAGAGGCAGCCACGTGCCCACACGGGGTTTCCCTGAGAGCCCTGTCTGTTGAGTCAATAAGAACAGAAGAAAGCCATGACGTGTCTTTTCACCAAGTGTGAGTCAGAGTTAATTTCGGAGTTTGGGGTGAAATCCAATCTGCTTGTAACTTTGGTCTCTAAAGGCTTGAACCCTGCTTGATGAAAGAAGCAGACAGTCAGTCTTGTTTTTCATAGAATCATAGAGTTGGGAGAAACCTCATGGGCCATCCAGTCCAACCCCCTGCCAAGAAGCAGAAATATTGCATTCAAAACACCCCCTGACAGATGGCCGTTTAGCCTCCGTTTAAAATCTTCCAAAGAAGGAGTCTCCACCACACTCCGGGGCAGAGGGTTCCACTGCTGAACGGCTCTCACAGTCAGGAAGTTCTTCCTCATGTTCAGATGGAATCTCCTTTCTTGTAGTTTGAAGTCATTGTTCCGCATCCTAGTCTCCAGGGAAGCAGAAAACAAGCTTGTTCCCTCCTCCCTGTGACTTCCTCTCACATATCTATACATGGCTATCATATCTCCTCTCAGCCTTCTCTTCTTCAGGCTAAACATGCCCAGCTCCTTAAGCCGCTCCTCATAGGGCTTGTTCTCCAGACCCTTGATCATTTTAGTCGCCCTCCTCTGGACACATTCCAGCTTGTCAATATCTCTCTTCAATTGTGCTGCCCAGAATTGGCCATAATATTCCAGACGTGGTCTCACCAAGGCGGAATAGAGGGGTAGCATTACTTCCCTAGATCTAGAAACTATGCTCCTATTGATGCAGGCCAAAATCGCATTGGCTTTTTTTGCCGCCACATCACATTGTTGGCTCATGTTTAACTTGTTGTCCATGAGGACTCCAAAATCTTTTTCACACGTACTGCTCGCGAGCCAGGCATTGTCCCCCATTCTGTATCTTTGCATTTCGTTTTTCCTGCCAGAGTATCTTGCATTTGTCCCCGTTGAACTTCATTTTGTTAGTTTTGGCCCATCTCTCTAATCTGTGAAGATCGTTTTGAATTCTGCTCCTGTCCTCTGGAGTATTGGCTATCCCTCCCAATTTGCTGTTGTCTGCAAACTTGATGATCATACCTTCTAACCCTTCATCTAAGTAATTAATAAAGATGTTGAACAGGACCGGGCCCAGGACGGAACCCTGCGGCACTCCGCTCATCACTTCAGATTGGGACCACATTAGCCTTCCTCCAATCTGCTGGAACTTCTCCCATTCTCCAAGAACTCTCAAAGATGATTGCCAATGGTTCCGAAATGACTTCCGCTAGTTCCTTCAATACTCTTGGATGTAGTTGATCTGGCCCTGGGGACTTGAACTCATTTAGAGCGGCCAGGTATTCCTGGGCGAATTGTTTCCCAATTTGGGGTTGGATGTCCTCTAATCCCTCATCCACTCCATCTTGCTTTTCAGCCTAGATTATTCTCTTTCACCAAAATTCTTTTCTAAAACGGGTTCATGGGCATTGCTTTTGAGTGTGAGTGGACTCAGGGAACTTTTCCAGAAGAGTTTGGCCTTTTCATTAATCACTTCAGCTATTTTTTTTAAAAAAAATGAAGTGGGGTCCCTTTGGGAGAAAAGGAAAATCTGGGACAAGATGATTTACTGTATTTAATGGAAGGTGGGATGTTTCAGTTTGATATATAAAATCAATAATGACGATGCAGCAGTGAAAAGAAAGAGGTGGTTCACAGGGATATTATCTAATGTCAGCATCATGGGGGATCTGCTGAAATGTCCACCACAGTATGTTGACATTGTTGGCCGTGTTTCTCCTCCTTACTGTTGTTGCTCGTGCACCAGGCCTCTGGTCTCTGCAAGCATGCAGGCAATAACAAGTCCTCCCCCCCCCCAGCCCCCCAACATTTTGAGGGACTGTGAACTGACCCTATGTTTAAAAAGTTTGGGGACCCCTTATCTAGAATACTAAGGAATGCTCCTGCTACGGTATTCAACAATGCATACATACAATAGGTAGTGCCTCTTGTCCTACAAAGGCAGGTGTTGCCCTCTAGTGTTGGATGGCTGAGACTTTGCGCTCTCAGTCTGCTATCTGTATCCTGGGTTCCTTTTCTTGGCCACGCAACAATTTCATGGCTGGCAGCTGACAAATAGAAATACGTAAACACAGCTGAGGCCCAAGACCATGGTGTTTTCCATATAATTCCTCACAAAAGCACAGTATGCGGGAAGACTTGGTCCTGCCATTAGGTAGAATGATACTGCTGACTCAGGAGTACAGAATGATGTTTTATATCCTCGTAGGTTAGCTATCAATCATGGTGCTTGAGGAAAATGGTTGTTCTTAACAGTTGAAGAAATCATGGTGTGCTGTGACTGGATTATAACTCCCAGCAGTGCTATCCAATAGTGTAAATGATGGAGGCTTCAATTGGTTAAGCGACCAAACCTAAAGGGTGCTTCTCCCCAATGGTTCCTCTTCTTCATCATGAAAAGAAATGACTAGTGGACCTTCATAAAGAGGGTTCCGTCCTGGGCCTAGTGCTGTTCAACGTCTTTATTAATGACTTGGATGAAGATTCAGAGGACAGGCTGATCACATTTGCAGATGGGACCAAATTAGGAAGGAGAGCTAATACTCCAGAGAACAGGATCAGGATGCAAAATGACCTTTACATATTAGAGCATCAATTGGCCAAATCTCCAAAATGAATGTCAAGAAAGACAAATGTAAAATATGATACTTAAGCAGGAAAAAAATCAAACACAGGATGGGGGGCGCCTGGCTCTACAACAGTCCGTGTGAAAAAGGTCTTGGAGTGTTTGTGAAGAACAAGCTGAACATGAGCCAAGAGTGTGAGGTAGCAGCTGAAACAGCCAATGGGGTTTTGGGCTGCATCCAAAGGAGTTGAGTGTCTAGATCAGGGGTCCTCAAACTTTGTAAACCGGGGGCTAGTTCACTCTCCCTCAGACCATTGGAGGGCCGGACTATAGTTTTTTAAAAAAAAAATCAATAAAAAAATTCCTATGCCCATTGCACATATCTTATTTTGCTGTGTGGAAGGGCCCTTAAAGGGGGTTCTTTCTAGCCCTCTTTAGGCAGTAATTGCAGGAGCAGAGAATGGGAAATCTTCCTATTTCTAGTCTGAACAAAATCTGGCTACCAGTATTAACTCTAAAATTATAACTGTAAATAAAGAACAACACTCAAACACAGGGGAACTCCAGACAAGAAACAATCAGGGCCAGCTAATCACCTCTCAACAAAGGATTCTCCCTAAAAACTGTCAGGCTATGAAATGGTAATCAAGGTGGCCAATTGAAACATTCATACCTACCTCCAACAGACAAGAGTTCTTTCTCCCACCCTGGATCTTCCACAATTTTCCTAGTTAAAGGTTTTCCTCTGACATGAAGTCCAGTCATGTCTGACTCTGAGGTGTGGTGCTCATCTGCATTTCTAAGTCGAAGAGCCGGCGTTGTCCGTAGAAACCTCCAAGGTCATGTGGCCGGCATGACTGCATGGAGCGCTGGGGCAGCCTCCCTTGGCTGGCTCACGCTGCCCATTGGGCCTGACGGATAGTGTGAGCCTACCAAGGGAGGAGCAGCACCGCGCGGCCTACTTTCGCGTAAAGCACCTCGCGAGGTGCTTTACGCGTGAGTAGGCCACGCGGAGCAGCCTCCCTTGGCTGGCTCACACTGCCCATCGGGCCTGACGAATAGCATCGGCCTGCGAAGAGGGGAGCAGCACCGTGTGGCCTACTTTTGCATAAAGCACCTCGCGAGGTGCTTTACGCACGAGTAGACCACACGGAGCAGCTGCCCTTGGCTGGCTCATGCTGCCCATCGGGCCTGACAGATAGCGTGAGCCAGCCAAGGGAGGGACACTGTGTGGGGGGGGGCGCTCCTCCTCCGCGGGCCAGATAAGTGCCCTTGGCGGGCCGGAAGCGGCCCACGGGCCGTAGTTTGAGGACCCCTGGTCTAGATGAAGGGAAGTCCTGGTGCCTTGGTTAGACCTCTTCACCTGGAAGACTCTGTCCAATTCTGGGCCTCACAGTTCAAAAGAGATATTGACTCTTAGCTAAAAGGAGTCCAGAGGAAGTGGGCAAATAAAAGGGTCAAAGGTCTGAAGACCATGAATAATCCCTTTGAGGAGCATCTTAAAGAACTGGGTCTGTTTAGCCTGCAGAAGAGAAGGCTGAGAGGAGACAGGAGAGTCGTGTATAAATAAGTAAAAGAGTGTCACAAGGAAGAGGGCGGGAGCTTCCTTTCTGCTGCCCTGGAGACTAGGACTCAGTGGAGCCATGGGTTCAAATGACAGGAGAGGAGATTCCACCTGATCATTAGGAAGAATTTCCTGACCATAAGAAGAGCTGTTCAACAGTGGGACCCTCTGCCTTGGAAACTGGTGGAAGCTCCTTCCTTGGGAGCTTTTAAACAGAGGCTGGATGGTCACCAGTCAGGGATATTTTGACAGCAGAAAGGGGGTGGACTGGATGGCCCATGGGGTCTCTTCCAACTCTATTATTCTATGATTCTATTATTCAAATGCACTGGAGAGATCAGGTTTGAAGTCTAGTGGTCCAATTCTACTTAAATTCTCACAAACCTAACCATTTGTCTAAACATCTTTATTTCCAGTTATACAGAGCTTCATGAACTCTGATTTCTCTGAAAGGTTTCTGTAACATGGCAAACTGGTCAAAAGTTCTTTAAAACAGCATGTTTTTATTAAAGTATCTTGAACATCTTTTAGGGAAAAATCAGCAAATATTTTTGCTCCTTAAGATCCATCATCACTATATGTTTACAGGTCTTTATCAGCTGAAACTAAACTATATTCATTTCCTCTCCATCATACCACCAAGTGTAACAGTTTACTGTGACATTTTCATTAGGGGAGGAAAGGAGAAGTAAAGAATGGCATGAGAGCTGTAGATCTGCCTGAACATAAATGGGAATGGGAGGGGAAACTCAGAAAGGGCTGAGTTTTCAGAGGCACCAGAGGCGATTCCAGAAATTAAAGGGACCAAGGGCTCCCTGCATTATTTCCTACAGATACCCAATCTTCCGCTTGCATAATTTCAGTGGTGGAAGTGTAATTTATATCTTTCAACTGAAGTCACGGTCTGGAAGCACAAGAGGGGCGACCAGTGTCCACAAATAGACAAAAAGCCCAACCCAGGAAGATGAAATCTTCACCCAGACTGCAGTCCAAGGGCTGTTCAGGTTCTGATAGGTTTCATCAGGTCTATAAGAGAGAGAGAGAGAGGACAGACCATCATAATCTTAGATCAGATATAGGCACCTCTAACTCAGCATTCTTTCAACATGATATTAACAGAAACATCTATGGGAGGTTTGCCAGAAGGACAGGAGGACCACAATCTCAATCTCATGCTTGAGAAACTCACACACGTATAACAACGAGATTTGTCTTATCTCCACAATGTTACTAACTTTTAACTTTATTTTAACCAACATCTCTGTATTATTTTTGTGTTGGCAGGATAGCAGAGCACTAAAACAATAAAGTAGGAGATTAGAAATTATCTGTTTTTTCTAAGGAGTGGCCACACAAACATTTACATTTGTTTTTAATATTGTGCATTTTGTAATAATTAATAGATCTTGCAAAGGCTATTTTATATTTCAAACGGTATGGTAGCAACTATTTTAATATGCATTTTGTTGTGCTGTTTTGAATATGCATTTCATGCGAATTTCCCCTCCTTGGCATAGATTCCTCTTACTTCCTGTTGTCTCAGCCCCATTCTTAACTATGAGTTGTTTGTAAGTCAAATGTTTGTAACTCGGACACTGCTTGTATTCCCATATGCAGAACATGGACAACTGCCAAGGAACCTGTAACAGTATCAGAAAGCACTTACGTGTACCAGTTGGTGAGTGTCATCATGATGTAAAGGGAAGCCAAGAGGAGGCAAAAGTGGAAGAAGGTGTAATTGTAAGACACTCCGTCCTCCTCGTTGTCATAAGCACGGTGCACCCCATCTTCAGGGCCAGGGCTCCCACCCCCCAGCATGGCTGGGCTCTCCTCCGTCAGCATCATCTTGTTCACTTGGGCATGGTCAGAGGAACGGATGCTGGAAGAAGAACAGGTCATCCCCATGAGGTCATACTTCTGTTGCCCATCTAGCCATCCTTTCACAGCAGTTTGCATCTGTACTAACTACCCCAGAAATCAACAATATTTTAGGATCACTTCACTTTTTCAAAATGCTACATTGATGGACATGATTATTTGAGGGGTTTAAAGTTCATGTTGGGAAGGGAAGCATCCATCAATCTTCTCCCGGTTCACTTTTTTGTGACCCAGAGAGCAGTGGTTCCCTGGGCATGCATATATGCTGAAGTGCTACCCCAGAAATCAGGAGCCTCATTTCTGCTCACCCAGAAAGCCTTTTCCCTTTATTTTCATTTCCTAAACTGTATATGGGAATACAAATGCACTGTATTCCCATATACAGAATATGGATAACTGCCAGGGGAACCTGTAGCAGTATCAGCCTCAAATACATCATAGCATCTAGGACATTTATACTCAGTCTCATTATTCAAAGACTTTTCTCTGAAAAGTCCCACCTCTCAGTGTAGGCATGTCCAGTTCTTTTGTTCTAATACTTTTACACCTGGTTTGGTCACTACATGCTTAGCAGAATGGGTTTTTACCTTGACACATCCAGCTAGCAAAATCTCAACAGATTATTTTGGCCTACTATACTTAATTCACATAGTAACTATGCTAATACTTCATTCGCCTCACTTCTGAAACTGTTGCTATAGCTATACAGAGAGCTAGCGCCAGTTAGCTTCTCCTCCAACCAGCGTTTTAAATTGTATGCTGATGCTTTTATGTTAAGCTGCTTTGAGTCTCCTGCAGGAAAGATAAATCGGGATATAAATGTACATTAGGGCTGGGCGGTTTCGTTTCGTTAATTCGTAATTCGTTAATAATTCGTTAATTTTTTCAATTACAAAACGATAACGAACCATTCTGGAGCAATTATTTAAAAAAACGAATTTTCAAAAACGTTTTGTAAATGCTTCGTATTTCGATATTGTATTCGTTTCGTTATTGTTTTGAGGTCGTTTCGTTATTATTTCCGCATGTCTGGGCTAGTTTTATGGTTTAATTAGTGAAAAAAATTATAATATCACACCAACAGTCAACAACAGAGGGAGAGGGAAGCTTCAGAAGGTTTTGGAGGTTTTTTAGCGTATTTCTCGGTCGCGTCCGCCATTAACGAATCGATTCGTTATTGTTTCGGAAATCGATTCGTTAATTTTTTACCATTTATGAAATTTCGTAAATATCGAACTTTTTAAAAGGAAAATTTTGTAATTATTTTAAATATCGAAACAAAAACCCCCAAATACAAATCGATTTTAGAAACAAATTTTTCCGTTGTTACCCAGGCCTAATGCATTATTATTATTTGAAACACAACAAGATTACTACACACTAAGATCACTATGTTGCTTGTTGTATTGGATCACACGTCGGACACTTCCCAAGTGTCTAGGACTATGTGATGTATCGGCGAATAATGTGTGCAGATCCCAGTAGGGTGGCCTTTTGCAGCTGGCAGATGGTAATTTTGTCAGTGCCAATTGTGTTTAAGTGCAGGCCAAGGTCTTTAGGCACTGCACCCAGAGTGCTGATCACCACTGGGACCACCTTGTGCTAGAGTCTTTGCAGTTCAATCTTTAAATCCTCATATCGTGTCAGCTTTTCCAGTTTTTTCTCTTCAATCCTGCTGTCGCCTGGGATTGCAACATCAATGATCCATATTTTGTTTTTTAACACAGTCGTGAGGTCAGGAGTATTGTGCTCCAAAACTCTGTCAGTCTGAATTTGGAAGTCCCAGAGGAGTTTGACATCTTCACTTTCCATAACTTTTCCAGGCTTCTGGTCCCACCAGTTCTTTGTTGCAGGAAGATGGTGTTTGTGGCACAAGTTCCAATGAATCATCTGAGCAATGGTCTTATGCCTCTGCTTGTAGTCTGTCTGCGCGATCTTCTTGCAGCCAGGGGCGGCTCATCCATTATGCGAAGTAAGCGGTCGCAGAACACTTTTCTTTGCCAGGGGTGCAGAGGCACCTCTGTAAATGCCCCTCGACTTTCACTTGAGGAGAGCCCCCTCAGCTCACAGCAGCCCTATCAGTCCGGGGGGAGCCTTGGCTTTCTTGCCTCGCTGCCGGGCGATCCTCTTCCCAAAGGGGCCGGGCCCTTGAGCCTCGCCTAGCCCCTCTCGTTCCTGCTCCACCTGGCCACCGGGTGCGCGAGCAGAGCCGGCGCTCAATCGTTCTCCGTGTTCGATCCCTTCCCCATGACCAGCTCTCTTTCCCGATCCCCCGGCGCTCCACCCGCCTCCTCTCCTCTCCCCAATCCGCGGGTGGGCCAAGGGGCGGAGCCGCCGTGCCTGGCCCGCTTCGGGTCCGGAGGCGTGTCTGAAGACCCCAGCGTGCACACCAAAAGTCACCTCTTCTCCTGACTTTCTCTTCAGCCATTGGGACCAAAGAGAGAGAGAGAGAGAGAGAGCCCCTCCGGCTGGAGGTATCTCCCACCTCCGCTCCCTCCTTTGTTTTTGCGCCTACCTTCAGGAAAGGTGGGCATCTCCACCTTCTCTCTCTCTCTCTTGGTCCCAATGGCTGAGGAGAAAGTCAGGAGAAGAGGTGACTTTTGGTGCACACGCCGGGGTCTTCAGGCACGCCTCCGGACCCAAAGCGGGCCAGGCAAGGGAGCAAGTGCGGCAAGTGTAGTTACTGGGATGTATAGTTCACCTACAATCAAAGAGCATTCTGAACTCCACCAATGATGGAATTGAACCAAATATGGCACACAGAACTCCCACGACAAACAGAAAATATGTATCAATGATTGGTTGGGGGGGGGCCAAAATACTGTTTGCTTACCATTGAAAATTACCTAGGGCCGCCTCTGCTTTAATGGTACCTGAGGATGTGATCTATTGTTTCATCTGCTTCCTTGCAGAGTCTACATTTGAAATTTGTAGTCAACTTTTCAATTCTGGCTTTGATGGAATGTGTTCTAATATCTTGTTCTTGGGCTGCTAAAAACAGGCCCTCCGTCTCCTTTTTCAAAGTTCCATTTGTGAGCTACATCCATGTTTTTTCTTTGTCCACTTGGCTCTCAATTTTTCCCAGGAACTGTCCATGTAGAGACTTTTTTTGCCAGTTTTCTCTTCTGCTCTGTACTGTGTTTTTATGATATTCACTCTTTGACTTTTGCACTTTAAGCAGTTTACTACTATTGACTTCCCTCAATGTCGGTTCTTGATTGCCTTTCACAAAATCTGCCAATGCATGTTTCTCTTCTACCATTTGTTTCACTTGCAGAAGCCCTGTGCCTCCTGATTTTCTGGGCAGGTAAATCTGTCGACATCACTACGTGGGTGAGCCCCCGGTGGCGCAGTGGGTTAAACCCCTGTGCCGGCAGAACTCAAGACCGACAGGTCGCAGGTTTGAATCAGGGGAGAGGCGGATGAGCTCCCTCTATCAGCTCCAGCTCCTCATATGGGGACATGAGAGAAGCCTCTCACAATGATGAAAAAAATGAAATCATCCAGGCATCCCCTGGGCAACGTCCTTACAGACGGCCAATTCTCTCACACCAGAAGCAACTTGCAGTTTCTCAAGTCGCTCCTGACACGACAAAAAAACAACTGCGTGGGTGAAATGTGTAGTGGATTGTCATCCGTTTTCTTGTCTTTCTGTCCAGATCATCCAGCTCTGCTTGCATCCAGTTCACAATTCCAGCAGTGTATCTAATGACGGGGATGGCCCAGGTGTTGATAGCCTTGATTGTATTTCCACCATTTAATTTGCTCTTCAAAACCTTTCTGACTCTTTGGATATATTCTTTGCTGGCCATATTTTTCACATGCCCATGCTTGATACTGTCCAACTGCAGTATGCTCAGATATTTATAGGCTTCAGGATGATTGCATTTTATGGTTTGTCCATTTGGCATCTTTATGCCCTCCCTATGAGTAATTTTCCCTGCCTGAGGAAGCCTGCCATAGATGCAGGCGAAACGTCAGGAGAAATGCCTCTAGAACATGGCCATATAGCCCGAAAAAACCCACAAGAACTGAATTTTCCCTTTCTTTAATGCCGTCTCTTTTCCCGCTTCATCAGTCGAAGTTCCTTGGTGAACCAAGGAGACCGATTTCGGTGGGGTCAGAGAGGGCGTCTCGGGGCGATCCCGTCGAGTGCATTGGATAGCCTAATGTTCCATGTGTCCACCTGCACATCGATCGAGTCGCTGACAGGCTCCAGGTCCCATAAGTCTCCTTGGGCGAGCCCAAATTGGCTCGGCGCCCTTGCAGCGTGGGTAGGCATGCTCCAACCGGACTCTCAGGGCGCAGTGATCCGACCATGGAACCTCTATTGTGGAGGCTTGGGTCACTTGAATTCCTGCGCTGAAAATCAAATCTAGCATGTGTCCCGATCGATGCGTGGGCCCAGTACTACAAAGCGAGAGTCCTAGTGTCTCCATGGTAGACACTAGGTCCATAGCCGCTAATGAACAAGAGTCTGCATCAGCGTGGACATTGAAATCCCCCAGGACAATAAGTCTGGGGAACCTCAAGGACCACTCCGACACAGTCTCAAGCACCTGGGATAGGCTGTCTGCTGGTGCGCTAGGCACACGGTACACCAGCAGAAAGGCTATACTCTCAGAGGAATTCCACACCAGGCCAACACTTTCAATGCCAGAGATGCAACTTCCAGCAAGGTAGCCTGCTTTTTACATCTCTACCTTGCCCTGCCAGAGGCAACTGAAGCAAGGCATC